ATCCAATATCGACCGTCCAAGTGTTATTTTCAACGGCTAGTTGATGAAAGCCGTCGATCGTACCCTATTTTTGAATTTGTTGTTTTTTCCCTCACATGGGGACTGGCGGCAAAAGCGTTTGTACCTCTGCTCCTCTGTTCTCTCCTAATAATTCCTCTCTCTCTCTCTAAAACCTCATCTCTCTCTCTCTCTAAACGTCATCTCTCTCTCTCATCGGTTCTCTCTCTAAACGTCGTCCATCCCTCTCCTCTCTCTCTTGGACTGCTACTTCTCTCTCTTGGTAGACTCTGCTCTCTCTCATGTTTCATCTCTCCTCTGTTTTCTCAGAACCTGCAACTCTCTTCAAGGTGCAGTTTGATTAGTTCCAGATTCTCCCACCATCAAGCACCATTTCCCAGGTAACCCACTATCCCCATCATAAAAAACTGTGCACATTTTTTAACTCTATTATCAGTTTTCGCGTACTCTAGTGTTGGTATCCAGTGAACCCCCCCCTCTCTCTCTCTCTCTTTATCAACTTGCACGTACTTTAGTGCTGTTATTCGTGATAACCCTCCCTCTCTCCCTCTCTCTCTATCTCGCTCTGTCTCTCTCTCTCTCCTGCACATATGTTAACAGAGAAAAAGCACCAGAACCAGATATGTGCTCGATCTGATTGTTAGAAATAAGATTCCTATGCATTTTTGTATCAATTGTGTATAAAGATCTTTCCTTTTTGTGATGTTGTTTTGGCTTTTCGATTAGATGGGTTTTCATCATGTTTTCATAGGTTGGAAACATGAAAGAGGGCGTTTACAGGTTTGATAGAACTCTAGAGTCTAGAGTGAGAAAGTGTTATCTGTTTAACTTTTGAAGTAGATTGGTCTTTAGGTACTAAGGTTGGTTTTCCTGACATTCAATAATATTGGTTTTTCTAGGGTAACTCATGAGATGAATATTTAGAAAGTTGTAGCCTTTTAGTCCTATGGAAACTGGTGAGCAAGTAGGTTTGATAACGTTGGTTTATGACTCATGAGGTTTGATATCTGAAATTGGAGAGAGAATGAAATTTACAATGAGTACCTGGATTTTCGTGGCTCCTTAGGTGTGTGGAATTGGTAAAATTTCCCATTTTGTTTAGGTCCTCCATCATCAAATCAGATCAAAGTGAGAGAATGAGATTCATGGTGGTAATACAATTCCCTGCTTTCTTTGGAATGGATAATTGGGGAGGTTTTTCCTGACTAAATCAATTCACAAGCCTCCTTTATCATATCAAACCATTATCACAAAATGAGACCTTTAGAGGACAAGAGTGGTAATGCTTTCGAATTTCACAAGGGAAGCAATCCAAATAGGGCATCTCATCAAAGAACAGTTTTGGGATCTCTTAGTAAGCCAGCGCCCTCAAAATGGGACGACGCCCAAAAGTGGCTTGTTGGTCAAAATCAAGCCAAGCCCAAAGTTAGGGTTTTAATTATGGAAGACCGAGAACTAGGGTTCACTCATTCCCAAAAAGCCAAGGACTCTTCTAGCAAATCAGAGGGATCAGTTGAGGAACAAGTTGTGAACGATGATGAAGGGGAAACCAAGAAAATTGATTGTAATGAGTCACTTTGGCGAATCAATAAGACTAGTTTGGAGGATTCAGCATCTGCTATTCGATCTGTTTGTGTAAGGGATATGGGGACTGAAATGACCCCAATTGGTAGTCAAGAGCCATCGAGGACAGGGACACCCCTTAGGGCCAGTACCCCATGTATTAGGAGCCCTATTTCTTCTGGTTCATCAAGTCCTAATAGATCAAACCATGGAGTACAGGCCGTTGATGGCTCAAGTTTACAGTCTTTGGAAAATAGAAGAGATGTTATGTATCAAGGGAGGCCAAGTGTTACAGGGTGGTCAAGCAAAGACGGTGAATCTGATGCTTCTAGGATTCTTTGCAGGAACAGTTCAGTTTGTGTTGAAAGGCACAGTAGCTTGGAGACTCGAGCCTTGGCATGGGACGAGGCAGAAAGGGCAAAATACATGGCAAGGTTGATATGGATACTTCAGTTATTTTCATGATATCTTTACTGCTAACGATTTATGGCTTTAGTTGTCTGCACGGGGTGAGCAATCTGAGATTGAATTATCTTGCCAAAATGAAAACTTTCTTAAATCCAGTTGGGAACTTAGATCCTTTTATTTATGTAAAAAAAAATTTTCTCTTTAAATGAAAACGTAATTGCCACTGTTTATTGTCTAATTTCATCTTCATTCTTTACTCATTAATGGCAAACTACAATTGTGGGAGTTTAAATTTGCTCCAAAGTTGGAGGGATTAAAAGCCTCACTTTTGTTGCGTATAATTTTTCGGGGTTACCTGAATGTTGATGATAAGTGGCATAAATTAGATAAATTCTGACTCAAATATACCTACCATGTTTTGTGGAGTTTAATGGACCAAGGTTTAGTACAGATTTCAGCCAAACTATTCAGGTTGTGTGATTTTTTTTTTTTTTTTATTGAGTTTGTATCTATTATTTGTTTATCAACCCCACAAAAGAGTCATATTGGTTTCATGGGAATGTGCTCCTATCAAGTGATATATATTGAAAAATCTTATTTTGGCTGTCGCCTCTGTTCTGTAAAAACTTGAGTGGCTCACTCAGATCTTGCTTAGACCTGCCCAAGTTCTCCTGTGAGTGAGACCCTCAAAGTATTACGGCACATTTCTTGACGACTGTAAGCGACATTCTTTGAAACTACCAAATGTTTTGGCAAAATAAACACACACACGCACACACATACACATTTATAAAACACACACACACACACACACACACACACACAAGAGGGTATTACAAGATCATTAAATGCTTAACTCATGCTAGTAGTGTGAGGCCTGAGCCAATAGAGCAACAGGCTCGCGTTCTCTTTGGCATTGCCTGCTGCATATCGTAATACACATTTGCATTTACTTTTATCACTAGCCAAGACAGTTGAATAAATATTAGATGAGATTACATGCAATTTCCTCTTTGAAACTCATAGAGGGAAATTTTGCTTGTCTAGCAGATTTGATGTGTTTTTTTTTGGTGAGTTAGTAGGGAGAGGGCCCCTACCCTTGGTAGGAATTGAGCCTAGGACATAGTTTTGCAGATTGATGTGTTTACTTATTCATAAATATACTTCTACTTTGTTCAAAACCAAAATTTAGGTTTCGTGTGCCTGAGCTCATGTACTTTATTTTATGATTTTCTATCAGTGAGGCATGTATGTACTATGAAGTGGCTGAATCTTGAATGGTTCAGTTCAACCTCTAGTAGAGGCATTGATTTTAGTGACATATAGTGTGAACAGTTCTTCTGTTTAAGCAAAGATGCTTTTTGAATCTGTTTCCTAACTGATTGAGTTGGCATTGGACAAAATTGTTTATTTGAATGCCATTGTCATGGTTTCATGCATTTTCAATACCTGTCGGCTTCAAAGATTAAAATTGTATTTACAGGTATAAACGTGAAGAGGTGAAGATACAGGCTTGGGAAAATCACCAGAAAAGAAAAGCTGAAACAGAAATGAGGAGGATGGAGGTACTTCTTAATTCTATATGTTTATCTTTCTAATGTCAGAAAAGAAAGTACTGATTGCATGCCATGTTCTTGTTGTCTATGATCCTTCTGGTAAGGCTATTGCAAGATATCCAAGATTTTGTTGGGCATATTGAGATAATTTGATAAAATTATACTAGTTATCAAACTAAATAAATATATAATTTCTAGAGATGGCAATGAGAACATGAGGAATTGATGTTCAAAATAAATATTAGATTATCATGGGAACAGGGAAGTAAAAGAGGAAGCATAAAGAATAATGAATATGCCAACATGAAGGAGACAACAGTTTGTTAATGCATAAAAGATCAATAGAGATCGATAGAAGTTCATAACTTAAAGAAAACTTGGATCTTTCTGATTGCTAACCTCTTGAATGAGGGAGAGTTTGATATATTCCCATTTATATTGTTTAATGCACGGATGACAATATAAATCTTAACTGTTGACCAGAACAGGAGGGCTGAACCTCAAGAAATATATATAATGGACATTCACTGGGTCTGCAGTTCATTTGAAGTGATGATCCCGATGTTGACTCATTTGAATTGCCAACTTATTCTGAAAATAGGCCCATTTGTTGATTGGATCTCAACTGTCCACTAAGTAAACTTAATCATTTTATTGCACAATCGAGGTTCACTAACCTTCCATTAGGCTTAAATGTTCTGTCCCATCATTCTTTTCTACTTCAACCTTTCCTATGTTTCACTCATCTTTTCTTTGTTCACACAGGCATATGTATGTGTGTAACTTGCTGCTTTTTTTTCTCTCATTTTATTTGTACTCTCTCTTTCTCTCACTGCATTGATATTGGAGAATTGTTGTATGCTGGTATTTAGGCAAGGGCAGAGAGATTGAAATCACGAGCACAAGAGAGACGGACGAATAAGTTAGCTGCTACACGTCGCAAGGCTGAAGAGAAGCGTGCAAATGCCGAGGCCAAATTGAATGAGCAAGCTGTGAGGACTTCAGAGAGAGCAGATTATATAAGGAGGACCGGCCGTATACCTTCCTTTTTCTATTTCAAGTTCTGTCGGTGAAATGTATGTGACATTTTTTCTCTTTCATCACCTTTGTTTTTTAGGAGAAAAGGGAAATATGTATGTGCTTTCATTCCAAGCAATGTAATAACAACTGATTTTAAAAAATAATATTTATTTCCACACCTCCAAGATGATCATGTATCTATTGCCCTTCTCACTCTCTTCTAGATTCCAGCAATTCATATATCTAAGAATCAGTGGCTTTCACTGGATTAGGACCCTTCAAATTTGATATTCTTATAGATAATTTGTGATAGTTTAATTTATGCTTTATAGAAAGATGAACTTCTTGTTTGGTTTCCCTCTTTCAGCTTAGATGGAGAGATCTGTTTGGTTCATTATATGTGATAGTCTACCGTTCTGCAGGCACAATACTGTCTGTACTCTACATGTAGGTCTCCACCATCTGTTCTAAATGATATTGGAGATTTACAGTTCGCCTACAATTATCAGCTTGTGCAGAGGAGCAATTTATGTCCATTTACTGTCATTGAGAACAGATTTTGGAGACTACTTTTAGTATTCAGTGTGGTGCATGTATGATATACAATCTCTTATCATCTTCTTTTTGTTGGTTGTATCTGCTCAGGCAATAATGACAGCAGCAGCGATTTAAGGTGTAAGAAGACCGGTTGTTATATTTTGAATGATATCATTTGAGATATTTATGAAAAGGATGAGGTTTTGGTGTGTCAGCCAACGCACAAATCCATCATTTGGATCTAAAATTTTACATGTCAATAATCTTAGCCCACCATGACTGTGAATCTGAAAAAAAAAAAAAATTGAACTGTTAAAGTAGTCTATTTTGAACTTTTCCTGCTCCATTTATTATTTTACTTCTCAGATCATCATATCTGCATTTTATTGAGTTGCAAGTGAATCTAAGGAGAAAATGTATTTCGAGTGATTTAGGATGGGTTCCAGGTAGATCCATGAAAGACTAAGGTTGACTCATGTGATTAGGGATGCACTACAAACCAAAGTTATTAAAACCAAACACGACCTGTTGTTCAAGCAGTAGAACTGGTGACCGGAATTTTTTCTGGTCCAATGTAAGCACTAAACCAATATTTATACAAAATGGGTCAAAACTCAAAACTAACGTTTGAGCGGTTGAATGAGTTCGATCACAGGTTTTGGCTGTTCTATTGGACCATCTGGTTTGGAAAATTGAACTTAAATTCCATGTGTTTTTCAAATTTATTGTCAATTGTTTTACAGGAGTTATTCTTTCTGTTTTTCATGTTGATTGCATGGGAGCATTTTTTGCTAAATATTGTACCCAAAAATCTTGATAAAAAATAAACTATATCTTGCTTTCTCTTTTTCAAAAATAAAAGGCAAAATTGTAAAAATATTATTGTAAAATCTCTCTCTCTCTCTGTATGTGGTTTGCCCATGTAAACATCTAACTAAATACTCTCTCTGTATGTGGCTTGCCCATGTAAACATCTAACTAAATATGTGATTTGACAAACTTCTCCACTATTCGTTGGGAAATATGAAGCATCATTTTATATATTTTCCTTCATATAATGGGGAGTGATTTAATGCAAAGATTGTATAGTTATATAATAAAATATTCTACAAAAAGCAAGATCAACTTATTTATTTGACACCATTTTTTAGTTATACACTCTTTTTATCTTAATAAACAATCACAAAAACAAAAACAAAAGTTCAAAATTTGAAAACATATTCTGTAAATTATTTTTGTAGCCCAATTAATATGGGTTGTCCATTTTAGCGAGATGCATGGATTTAGGCCTTTAAATGATATTTTTTCTTTTCAAATTTTGGAGGGTGAATGAGTTCATGTCAGGGTGACATTATAATACAATGAAACCACACCTTTAGAAAATCATGTTTGTGGCATTTATACGACTTCAAAAATTTCACACACTCTCTTCATCTTAATAATCAGTAAAAAAAAATCGATTTGCATCCTAGAAATGGTCAAAATGAGTCCCCTCCAACAATGATCTAGTCCATCCATTTTGTGAGATTCAAGATCTAGGCCTTTACGAATTCAAAATCAAAATTTCTTTTTTAACATTGTTAATCTAATAATAATAAGGGTATCTCAAAATTGGGGAGTGATTTCATGTAATAGTTGTATGGTAATATAATGAAACATTCATTAAAAAACATGTTAGGTTTATTTGTTTGACCCAACTTTTAAATATATACTCTTTTTAATTTTAATAAATAATTAAAAAAAAATTTGCAAACATATATTAAAAATTATTTTTGTAGCCTAATTAATATAGGCCGTCTATTTTAGTGAGATGCATAGATCTAGGCCTTCAAAGGATCTTTTCCCTTTTCAAATGTTTTAAATAGTTTTATTATTATTGGATTGACAATATTAAAAAAGAAAATTTGATTTTGAATTGTAAATGCGTAGATCTTGAAACCTCATCCTTTATGTTTGGATAAGGTTTCCTCAGCTTTATGTAAACAAAAGAAAGCGTCACATCAAATCCTTGTCCATAAAATACTTTTGGTGACAGAAATATCTACGATGGCTCTAAAATCAATTTCCAACTTCAACAATAAAATTTTAAACTCAAAAAATGGTACAGATATTGTGGATCCGTGGACATTTTATTTGGACGTTGTTAGTATGCGGCCAACCTACATATTGAAGAAATGCGGGCTTGGCAAAGAATATATTTTTTAAATATTATTTGATCCTAATTTTTAGAGAATATATAATCTTTAACGTGTATATTATGAATATGAGTTTTTTTTAAAAAAACTATAAATAATAATTATATTTAGACTGTTAGATGAACCACCTATTTGCATCCATCTTTAAGATGGATGCTTTTTACCTCTGGACCGCATATTGTAAAAATGTAGTCCAACCCGCATGAATAATTGTTCCATTTATTTTTGAGGCAAAATAGACGGTCTAGATAATTTATTGAAAAAATTATGTAAATATCCATTATATTTACTGTTATTACAAAAATTCCTATAAATTTATGTTATTACACTTATATCTATATTTTCATCTCCAAAACACTTTTTAAAAAAAAAAAATGAAAATGCCTAGTTTCGGTTTTTCAAAATTTGAATTTAAACTGAATTCGGTGTTTGGAAAACCAAAATGTAGGGCCGTCCATTTACCTCCATTTGTCCTTTTCCTCTAACATCTCTGCAATTTTTTGGGCTCTCCTCTCTCTTCATTTCCGTCCCTCTATCTCTTAGCTCTCTCACAAGAGATCCTATTCAAAAGCTTGGACTATATTGGACGGATTTTGACGGCATTTGATGAATTTTAGATGGGTAATGAAGGTATGTATATGAAAAATATTAATTTGTCGGTCGATTTATGGGAATTTAGATTGTATAAGATTTTGATTTAAGGTTTCACGGTTGAGTATATAAAAGTCGATTTAGGGTTTATGTGACATATTTCACAATTGTATAAGCATGGAAATCTTATGGTCTTGACTTACAATCCAGAAGTTCTCAAATTCCAACCCAATCAATCTTCAAGCTCACATTCACACGGCAATATGAGTGGTGAGAAGTGTTCAGAATGGTAACGAACGCCACCTTAGCACAGACCAACTTAACCAATCATAATCACCCATTACAATGAGTTTGTCTAAAACATGTTGATATTGAGTTTTTAGTTTTTGAAAACTCGAAAATATGGTATTTTTGGTTTTTGATAGTTAATTTCCAGTAATTTACTGGAAATTGAAATTGGGTTTTCAGTTTTTAATTGAAAACATGATAATTTCGGTCTTTGAAACACTGAAAAATTGGCAATTTTGTCTTTTTTTTTAAAAAAAATATTATGAAGTTGAAAAAACAGATATAGGTGTAATATCGATAAATTTAAAATATTTTCGTTATTAAATAAAATAGATATGTACATAATTTTTTCGAATTTATAAGAAAATGCTCTTTATTTTTCGCAATCATAAAGCTAAATCGAGATGATGAAAGTACAGCTATTCAAAAGCTAAATCGAGATGATGAAAGTACAGCTATTCAAATGGCTTGCAATTTTCGATGAGTTATGAGATCAGGATTTACTTATTTTGATAACTCCGCAGTCCTCTCCAAAGGGATTTTTTTGTACAGGAGAGAGACAACCATTCTTACCCCTTTTTTAGAGAGAGAAAACGCGGATATCACCTTTTTGCCCTTATTTAAACAACCGCGCCCGCCCACAGCTTCTCTTATTCCATCAAATTCCAGTTGCCCATATACACACGCTTCACTGTATAAATTCGAATTGAGAGAGAGAGAGAGAGATAGAGTTCCTTTTTGCCGTCATTCGAGCAAAAGATTCCAGAGCTTCTCTCATTTCTGATAATTCCCCTGGTTATAGATCCATTTAGAGTGGCTTAACTGCTTAGATTCTATGCTTGATTTTGAGGTATTTAATGGCGAGATTAGGAGGCAAAGCCCCAGTTCTCAAGTACATTATTCCAGCTGCATGCGTAGGGCTTCTTGTTGCTGGTCTTCTTGCTAATATATTGTGGGCTTCTTCTTCTTCTTCTCGACCTTCTATTATTTCTTATTGGGAGTCTAGTGAAGATTCAAGTAAAGTTATCCCACTTATAGAGGTTTGTTTGATCCATTTCAAACTTTGTTTTTTTTTTTTTAGTTGATTTACGCAATGAAATTGATTAATTAACTTCTTCCTTTTTTGAGACATTTCATTCAATTTTTCTTGGGGTTTTGCAAATTGAGGATGGTTGAAACTTTGGAGATCAAAGAGTAATGGGTACTTATCTGTTTCAGTATATGATCTTTGCTTGTTTAAAAGTTCCATGACTTGATGTCTTTTTGTTTTTAAGCTATTTATAGTTTTGGGTGGTAACTCATCTTTCCCAATTGGGGATCTTACATGGTAAAATAATGACTTTTCGCATTTCATAGCCTTAATGGCCTCGCATGCTTGTAAATCTGAAAGCTTTGCACGGTTTGTCTACCTTTCCTTTTTTGAGATACCTTGGCTTGTTCCACAATTTCTTTGATATTCAAGTTATTTTTGTTAACAAAAGAGGACATTTGTTACTTTTTTCTATTTAAATTTTTTATAAGCTCCATAATATTCAATCTATTGCTCATTATCAGTGTCCAATAATTTTTTATAAGCTCCATAATATTCAATCTATTACTCATTATCAGTGTCCAATGCGCATCAACACATCAATGCCTATCAGTGTCCAATGCGCATCAACTCATCAATGCTGGGTATCCTGTTTAAACTGTAGAAGAGCACTATCTTATGTGCAAATTTCTTGTGATTATTCTTCCTAGTTTATCATGAAAGGAATTCTTTGCGGCTTTATGGATTTCATTTTTTTGCCTGAAAAACATGTGATTGACTGATTGCGATTGTCATACTTGGTGACTGCATTGCAATAAATTTATTTTGATGGTTCATGGATTTGTAGTTGGGGAATTTCTTCATTGCTTGATACTTACGCCTTTCTTGATTTTTTTTTGTTACTTTTGTTGTTGATAGACCAAGAATTTTAATAACAATAAAGCACCCATAGCGAGAGAAAAGAAAAATTCGACCCCTGAAGATCTATCGGTGCCCCTATTGGAATGGGAGGAGATGGTGCAGGCACCTGTCCCACGTCTTGATGGAGCAGCCATTCAGATTGGGAACCTTCTCTATGTGCTTGCAGGATATGGTACCATTGATTATGTGAGTAACATTTCATTGACACCTAATTAACAAGGAATTATGAAGCATTTCAGTGATACCCAATTAACATGGAATTATGTAAACATTTCGCTGATAATCAATTAATATGGACTTATGTGAGTAACATTTCATTGATTCGAAATTAATATGGAATTTGATGTAATGCATTTTGAGTACATCCTTCTGACCTGCACATGTTGATGCTATGTTTGCTGTTTCAATTATGATGACTGTGATGGACTTTTTTTTCTATTTTGAGTAAAGGAAACTCTATTAATGATTAATAGATGATTACAATGTCGCCCCATCGTTAAATGGGGCATATTGTCCAAAGAGAGCAAAGAATAAACATTTAAAATCTCCAAGAGCAATATGGGGCAACGTCCTTGGTTCCACAAAAACAGCAACCCCTGTTATATTGTTGTAGATACATAATTGGGGGAAACAGCACTCTCCTTGGCCAGGGAGTCAGCAATGGAGTTGGATTCTGTCCATAAATGTTGGAAAGTGATCATCAATGAACCAGTGATATAAAATATTTGGTTGAAAAAGCACTCTCAATGCCACGGGAAGGGAGACACCCTGGAAGCCAAACAAATAGATTTCTACGAGTCCCCTTCGACAATAGAGAACTACTCATTTCGGTTCAGAACAACTTTGTATTTTGAAGGAAAGCTTCAACCTCAGCCTCAGTGGAGTTGGCTGTACCAATGGGCAAGAGAAGATAGTTTACAATTGGCTATTTGTAAAACTTCCCCAACACCCTCTGCGCCCAGGCTGCCCAGGGTGCAGCCATGGAAGTTTATTTTGCTGACCCCCACAGGTGGTGGGAGCCAGAGGCCAGACCTTGAAGCTCTGGGCTCCCTGAATTGGAGCGCGCATGTGACCAGAGGAGCATCAAATCAGTCCTAGGCCATTGTTGGGATAGCTTGTGTTGCTGGGCCCAAAATATGACCTGGATAAAATATGATATTCCATCATTTGGATTATAGTCTCTCTTCCTTCATAAAATTCTTTGGTTTCATTCCAACCAGATTACTCACAAGATTTTGCTAGTATTGGGCCCTCCAAAGAAAGAGGCCACTTGCAGAGGGTGAGGTTAAACTAATCCTCGAACATCAGTTGGATTGTTTGGCGGAAGACCCAGCGTGCATACCAACTGAATCTGCATACCAAGTTGGTCCATATTTTTCTTTTTTGAAGTTGTTACCAATTTGTCCCATATTGAGACTGAGAAAGGGCTGTCGAGGGACAAATGTACCCTGGTTTCTCCATCTCCTCTGCATACACATCGACTAGTTTAAGGAATGCCCCTGCATTGTAGCTGATCATGCAGTAGCACTTAATTATGCAAGACAATCCAGCAAAAGGCCTGGACTTTTAACGGTGTATATGTATTAGGGAGTCAAGATTTGCAGAATGTGGTAGAGGGCACAGTGTTATGGAGCACTTGGTAGAAGTTTCGAACTGAGAAGACACCAGAGGGGGCAGGAGTCCAGATTAATTCATCTACCACTTAACTTAGAAGGTAGGTGGAGTGAAGCAGGTTTATTAGGGAGGCGAAGTATTCACACTTCTGCGCTCTTAGGTCCTTCTAAAAGCCAGCATCCATACTGGGTGGCAAGCAATTAGCCCAAAGGATTCATCCACTGAGGGGTCGGGGACATTGGCTACAGTGAATAGCCTTGGAAATGCCGACTGCAAATGGGTCGTCTACCCATAGATCCCTCCACAGATGAACCCTATCACCTTGGTTTGTCCTCGCCCTGATGAAGGTGTTGGGGACATTGGCTACAGTGAATGTCCTTGGAAATGCCAACTGCAAATGGATCTTCTACCCATAGATCCCTCTACAGATGAACCCTATCGCCTTGGTTAGTCCTCACCCTGATGAAGGTGTTAAAGCTAGAGTAATGTCAAGATGATATCTTTCCAGGCTTTCTAGGTCAGGGTGAACTTTCTTTTGCAGAATGATGGACTTTGGTTTATTTGTTTTTTTGATGGGCGAGGTGATGTTATTAGTTTTCATTTTTTATTTAACTTCCACAAAAAAATGATACTTCTCTTCAACAGGAGAACCACTTTCCACCATTCTGGCTATAGTTAATGATAGTTTTCTAGAAAGTGTTAGCCCCACCTTAACTTTGGCTGCATGGGCTAGTTGTGTCTCCCAACAACCATTTCCAATTTCTTTTTTTTTTGTTGTTTTATTTTATTTGGTTTGAAGTTAGCAATATTTTTAATTTTGTAAAGTGAATATGTCATGAAACATTTAACAACTGAAAAAAGAAATATTGATAGCATATATGATGGGTGGGTGTCTCTACTGTTAAAATAAGTCACCTCCAATCTGGACACTAAAACCTAGCAGCATGAAAGATCATTCTGAAATAAATTGTAACCGTATTCCTAACTTCCAATTCCTTCTCTTGCAATCTAAGGAGGAATTTCTGGCCTTTGGGATCGAAATTGCCTTTATGCTTATGCCTCCCTCATAAACCACCTGGAAAGCACCGTTTTAGTACGGAGGTAATCTTCCACCTCAACCAGCCCTTCTCTATATTAGAACCAGTTACATGAGAGTTTCCCTATACTATCAGAAAGAAAAAGAAGAAATTCACATACCACTGTAAAAATAAATGAAATGAAATTGCATTTAAAAACAAAAAAAATAAATGAAATGAAATTGCATTTAAAACAAAGATGGAAAAAATTCACTCGTTTTAATGGACTCGTTCCTGACGATAAAATAGGGGGGTTTTCAAGAAATGTTTTTCAAAGGTACACCACACAATGTTGCTGGGATCTTTTACCTTTTGTGATAGGTTTTGTCCCTTAACTTTTTTTCTTTAAGCTAGTTGCTTAAAACATCTTTTTGTGGCTCTCTGATGATTATTGGTGATCCGACTCTGATTGGTTGTTGGACCATTATGAATGGCAGTAGTTTTTCTGTTGCTATATATGCACGCATCTATTGGCCGTGTTGAAGGAAGCAATCTCTATGAGATATAAGACATAATCTTAGCAGTTTTATATAGTGACACACTATTAGACTTTTGCAGGTACATTCTCATGTTGATGTGTATAACTTTACTGAAAATACCTGGGGAGGAAAGTTTGACATGCCGAAGGAAATGGCGCATTCACATTTAGGAATGGCAACAGATGGAAGATATATCTATGTGGTGACAGGTCAATACGGCCCACAATGTAGAGGACCTACTGCTAAAAGCTTTGTACTGGACGCCAAGACTAAAAAATGGAGTCAATTGCCCCCTTTACCTGTTCCTAGGTATATACAGCGTTCAGCTTACATGGTTAACTTGCTATGAAGATTTTCTAGCTTCTAATGCAATGCAATTTTGTTTTCCTGTGTTAATTTAGAATCTCATGGGTATTTTTTTCTAGAATGTTCTTTATCTTGTTCAGTGAGTTTAGAACTTTAGATTGATGCTTGCATCTGTTGGAAATGGAAATATTGCCTCTTTAACCGCATTCTGAATTGTTTAGCAATAGTTATCCAGAACTATAGGTAAATATGTTGTGTGAAATCTTCTTATGATTGTTCTCAGGCGCCACTTCTATTGTTATGGCTTCTTGTAGCTTAATTGATGTCTAAAGGTCCTAAACTAACCTCGTGCATGTGCATCCTTATGTAATTAGTCCTATGTTCTGTACCTTTGGAATCATAAATACAGTCTGTGTTGCTTACTTAACAGTGTAACAGAGGCAGAACCATTTGGAACTCTTTGGTTGTTGCACGCATAATTGGTAACTTTTTGTTGTGTGTTGCTATGTGAACATGTGCATATTCTGATGAATGTGAGTATGCATGGCAGGGGATCTCTTTGTTAACTAACCCTGTCAAGCCCATAGTCATCAGTGTTACAAAATTGCATTGCCTGATAGCTGTGAGCCTTCTTGGGCTGCCTAGATTGGTAGAATATATTAACGTTCATATGGATCAGAGTTTATGATGCAGTTCAATAGGAGAATAACTACATGTAAGTAGCTGCAAATAGCAGAATCACATTGGCACTTTTTCAGGACAGAATTTTGGAATGAAACATGATTGCCTACAGCGAATGAAAAATCTGTCCACCTGGCTGCCTAGTCGCTCTAGTTTGATTGGGTTTTATTATGATTTTTGTCATCTGCAAGGGGAAAGTTTCGCTTGGGAATCTTTTCTCAAGAACAATGTCTTGTTAGGACATGTTTGGTATGCGTGAAAATACGTTTATGAAAGTATTTCACTTACATAAGATTAGGTGCGCGAGTTTTTTCACACCAATTGCCAGTCAGTTGGTGTGAAAAAATGCGCTAGGACCAATTGGTGTGAAAAAAGTCGCACACCTAATCACATGGAAGAATTCTTTCATGTGAAAATATTTTCATAAAAGGACATATTTGGTATGCGTGAAAATATTTTTATGAAAGTATTTTCACATGAAAGAATTCTTCCATATGATTAGGTGCGCCAGTTTTTTCACACCAATTGGTCCTAGCGCATTTTTCACACCAATTGGCAGTTAGTTGGTGTGAAAAACATCCCACATCTGATCACATGGGGGAGTTCTTTCATGTGAAAATACTTTCGCAAAATTAGTATTTGTCAACACTTCTCAATTCACTATTTGTCAACACTTCTTGGTGATGGTTGACGCAACATATGTGTCTTATGCCATACAATTGAAACTTCATAGGAAACATGATTATGCATGACTGATTACGAGGTCTGGATTTTGCTAGTGTGGCTATCAAATGCTTATTTTTCTTTTCTTTTTGACCAGGAACTAGCAAAACAATTCTTTGTTATCAGCTTTTCTTGTTTACATCTACTTGACATTGCATGTGGTTATTGTTGTTAAACTAGTTAGATTCATGATACTTGTGTGGTAATTAATGATTCTTTGTATACACTCCTTCCTAAATGTTTGTTTTCCTTAATTGTACCGAAATAATCATGCGTTCATCAGAAGTGTAAAAGTTATTGATGTATTAGCTTACAGATATGCCCCAGCAACCCAGCTATGGAGAGGCAGGCTCCACGCTATGGGTGGAAGCAAGGAGGATAGACATGAACCTGCATTGGAACATTGGAGCATTGCTGTAAAGGATGGCAAAGCTTTGGAGAATGATTGGCGACCAGAAATCCCAATTCCTCGTGGTGGACCTCACAGGTTTGCTTGCAATCCCGATACTTGTTTGGTGGTTTGTACATATTTCTGTGTATTATGTAGGCATGTTTGTCTTTTTATTAAAACTTGTACTAGAAAGGTGCGTACATTTATAGACATTCTAGGTAAACCACCCTCCCTTCCCCTGCTTTTTTCTTTTTCCTTTCTCTCTGCTACTTGTTTGTTCTTGGTGTGAGGATGTAAACAGTGGTTGAGCATCCAGTTATAAGCAGTTCTAAATGTTCGATGTAGGTACCCTTTCTCTTACGTAATTTATGCATGGTGTGTCTACAAGCTTTTTTTTTTTTTGGGTAAGTAGGTGTGTCTACAAGCTGAGTAAGCTTTGGTTCTTTTTCTTCTCTCTTTTTATTGTCAACTGTAAATTACATTGACTGCGTGAAACTTGAAATTGTCTGCACGAAATGGCCCAAATCGACACTTGCACGAAAAGTGTTCAAAGAAGCTGCATGAGATGGTCCAAAAAATTGCACAAAAGGGATCTACACATGAATATTCAGGACATTCTTAGGGAGTTTGATAGGGTTCCATCTCTTGCTAGTCCATTTGCTCTTACTTCTCTCCGAACATGTTAAGATGTGGTCCTTTCACTTCTCTCTGAAAACATGAGGGAGTAATCTGTAGTTATTGCACGAGCTTACTTGAGAATATAGTCATTAATGGCTTGACCCTTTGCATGTGCTTATGGAGGCCAATTACTTGAGAATAAAGTCATTAATGGCTTACTTGAGAATAAAGTCATTTAAAATTGTTTTAGGAACTCACTGGCTTTGACCCTTTGCATGTGCTTATGGAGGCCAATTACTGGCAGTTATTGGCAAGTAGAGGGTGGTTGTGGCGGTTCTAATCTTTGGAACTTCATTGATATCCCACTCCCTCAACAGATGTCCTAATTTTTAGAACTGCATTGATATCCCTTTCAAGTTTACTTTCTGGAAACACAACATCAATGTTACAGACCTACATGGTTACTCACCGGAAGGAAAAATTTGCTTCTTTGAGTTCCTTTTGCCTTTTTGCTGGTACCTAGTGACATATTTTTTCTAATTCCTTTTTAATAAATATGATCCCTAAGTTGAAATTCCCGGAGGATATGAATTTATTACGTTACTGTCCAAATGGCATCTTTTTATTTGTTTATTCATTTATTTAGGAACTGCGATTGATAACAAAGAGCAGGTTTTCTGCTGTTAGTATGATGGTTTTCAGCTGAATGAGGATCATGCCTCTAGCCAGGGCATGCTTATCTCATAAATCTTATGGACTTGTGCAATCTTCTGAAGACAATGGCTCTTTACATTTTCTGGATTCATGCTGAACACTTATCCATTGGGACCTGCTAATCTGTTCCCATTCCCAGCTTCATCGAAACTCTAAACATGCATGGAGGTGATGGGATTCTTTTTTTTTCTTTTTTTTGGAATCTGATGGGATTTTTGTTGTTGTTGTTGTTGTTATTGTTATTGTTATATTGATAATAACAAAGAACTCCCATAGCCTCTATAGAATAACTATTACCATACAAGCATTAAGCATGGTCAATTTGAATGAGATTTTATATTGAAGTTCCTATAAATTTCTCTATGGTATTTTCAATGTCTTGTCTCTACTTTTTAAACTCGGTTTTTGTGTCTCTGTATTTTATTTTCTTTGAACTTTCATGACATTTAGTATTTGTGTGCTTGCTCCCGAACTCTGTGCTTGTGTTTTACGTTGTCAACCATCATAGAGATAGATATTGATCTGCAGACCCAACATTTCCTTGATGCTCTTGATTCTTGACAATGCCTCCTCAATTGCATGGGTTTATGTAAAACTTTTATAGAGTATATGTGAAACCTTATGCATATTTGTGGCATATGTTGACTGGAAGTTTGATCTTCCGAGGTCGAGTGACTCACATGCTGATTGTTGCTATTGAGGGTCATCGACCTTTTGGTTTTCATTGTTTGAAACATATGTAGATGCACTAGTACTGACTTAGAACTTTGCTACACTATCAGGGCATGCATAGTTGTCAATGATCATCTTCTCGTTATTGGTGGTCAAGAGGGTGATTTTATGGCTAAACCAGGATCACCTATTTTCAAGTGCTCCCGCAGGAATGAGGTATCTGCTTTTATTACATAATCATATCATGTCTTTTTTCACCTGATATCTACACTTTCAAATCAACACAGAATTTGTCTAAAAATTTCGTAATATTTTGATTATTTGCCTGCAATCCTACATTCTAGGTGTACACTTCTTGTTGGATCCTGTTGTATGTATACCCTGGGCAAGCTGCTATATTCACCTCTTATTTTTGAACACTCCTGAATTTTCATAACATGCGAGTACTTCATGTTATAGTATTACTTATGTGCCCTATTTGGGAGAAAAGCTTGTTTAGCTAATGTAGGAACCTTGCAACCTAATGAATTAGAAAAGTACAAGAACTGTTGGCAGAAAAATATAAAAGTATTGGGATATTCCCCTTGTAGGATCTTAGTCAACAAAGGGGCTTTTTGGGCAAACGGTTTATTCTAGGGAGTTTGACATATCAAAAGAAAAAAAATATTAGTTTAACTAAGAGGGAAGTGAAAGTGCACAACTGTTTACAAGAAGTCAAGAACTGATGATACCTGTGCTTTTCCTTTATTTTGTTGCATTGTCAACTGATGATTGTCATGTTACATGCTTATGACAGGTAGTATATGGGGATGTCTACATGCTGGATGATGGGAAGGAGTGGAAGCAATTACCTTCAATGCCCAAGCCTGATTCTCATATAGAATTTGCATGGGTTGTGGTGAACAACTCTATCATTATTGTTGGTGGCACAACAGAAAAGAATCCAGTGACAAAAAAGATGGTTCTTGTTGGAGAAATATTCCGGTTCAATTTAAATAGAATGGTACCTACCTTTTCTCTTCAAGTATATGTTTTCGGAAGGAGATACCAAAGCATGCTCATGTTTTCTTTGCTGGAAATTAGCTGCTGCACTTTCATAATATCATCATGCATATGTATTATTATTGATACATGTGCTCATCTAGACTATCTTGTTTTGGGTTAGTGCTTACATAATACGAGACTCTCAGTTTGAACTGATGTGTTGTTTCGTCGTTCAGTATTTCCTATAAATCAATGTAGAAAATATCTTTAGGGAAAGATTTTGGACCCTGGCAAACCCAGTTCAACTTAGCAACTTTTCAAATTTGTTCCATTAGTAAACTTAAGAACAATTTAAAAACCTAAAATGAAATATAGAAAATGTATGAAATATATGATGATTAGTTTTGTGAAAAAAAAAGGCATACTTGAGTGTTAATTATAGGGGGGAAAAAAGAGTAGTAGTGATTTATAAGAAATGAATCAGATGTAGCATTATGTAAAAGTTATTGTAATATGATAGTGTATTTGCAGCTTTTGAGCAAAGCACTATCAAACCAGGGCTTTGCTTTTCCTGCTAAGCTATTATTTGAGAGAGACAGTTTTGGTGTGTCAGCCGACTCACCTATCGCCATGCGGTCCCTTGTCTATCAAACGTCCCTCTCCAAGATGTATGTTAAAAAATGTTATATCCACTAGAAGTTAAATGGACGGCGGAAAAAGGAATTCAAAAAACAATATTTATATTTTTTGAAAAAGAAAAATTCCAAATTTAGATGATTATCATGGTGGATATTATTGAACCGTAAAATTTTGGATCGAAAATACATCTTTGAGATATGTTTTGGAGGGAGCCTGCACAAGAATAGGTGAGTGTCGACCGACTCACGAAGTACTTTTCCCTCTTTGAGAGTGCTTTCCAGGTGAACCAGGAGACTCTCAGCCGAGTCTTACCGTGCATTCTGAGCTATTGTTTACAATTACTTTTGCCTTTTGACTTTATAGACTAATTCATTTTATTAAAAGAACTCATAATTCTCTGTGGCTACGGGTGTATCCATTACCAATCATATCTCTATACCAAAAAATAAATAACATTCACGATGCACCGTAAGTCTAATAACTTTCTTAGGAAAAGTTCCATTTCATACTTTTGTGTATTAAATTGGATCGAAATTTAAAAACATAGTTGTACACTATCATATTACGACAGGAAGAGGACAATTCATGATGCACCGTCAAGTCTAATAACTTTTCTTAGGAAAAGTTCCATTTCATACTTTTGTGTATTACATTGGATCGAAATTTAAAAACATAGTTGTACACTAGCATATTACGACAGGAAGAGGACAATTCATGATGCACCGTCAGGTCTAATAACTTTCTTAGGAAAAGTTCCATTTCATACTTTTGTGTATTAAATTGGATCGAAATTTAAAAACATAGTTGTACACTATCATATTACGACAGGAAGAAGATAATACCTCGAGTCTCAATGAACAATATATTACATACAACGAATTCACAAAATATGCAGTACTCCTTGCAACAACTTGTTTAACTCATATTGCTGCTCCTTTTCTTGTCTTTTTCCTTCGTTTTGGTACTTTTTCATGCTCATTCTTACAGAAAGACAATGGGCCCATATCCCAGGCCCGGACCATACAGATCCAATTTAGTGTACGTAAAATCACTAAGGCTGGCTCAGGTACACTGTTTCTATGATTTTTCAAATCTACATTATGATCCGTGTACTAGGTCATGTTGTATATCAGTCAATTGGTGTGATTCATTATCATGTTGCTATGTTGGTGACTAAGGACTCTAATCCCCATCATCCTCACCATCATTGTATCCAGGTATACTTTTAATTATCGAACTGGGGATGATTCCTTCTCCACGAACCACCTCTCACAGGAAACAAGTAGTCAAACTATATCAGATTTAGTTGCTAATGGACACTGTTTTTTCACTGTGTGGACCAATGTGAACATGGTCACATCTTGCTCGTAACCAAATAAAATGCGGATCTGACTCAAGCTTGATGGCTATACTTGTCAACAAAAATTGTGTATGTAGTTGTGGGACTTGTTTTTGACTGTTAAGGTTTTTCAAATCTGGATTACGATCCGTATGCTAGGTCATGTTGGATATCCATCAATTGGCATCATTCATTATCTTTTTGCTATGCTGGGGACTTGGGACACTAATCTCCAATATTCTCACAATCATCGTATCCGGTTGTTCCTTCCATTTTCGAATTGAGATGATTCCTTCACCATCAACCCTCTAAAGGTCCTCATAGAACAAGTAGTCCAAGTTTATCAGATTTAGTTGCTAAGGAGAGTTCATTGTGTGCATCAATGAGAACATGTTCACATCTTGCTTGCAACAAAACATGGAGCGCATCTGACTCAACCTTGCTGGCTATACTTCAACTTTGCGCCAGAGAAGTTGTGTCTATATCTATAGTGAGGTGGAAAGAAAAACAAAAACAGAAAGAAATACATATAGTACTGTTTATTAATTATTCTTTCTTAGTATATATATGATATTTCAGGCTATATCTGTTATAACTGCACTCCCATTTTAAGAGTTGTGCCTGCCTGCTTTACACCTCTGCTCAGTAGTTGTGCCTACCTGCTTTATATAAATAGAGAAGATGTATGGATACAGCCTATGTCACATGCCGATACGACTGACATGCCCAAAGCTCAATGATTTGTTGAAAACCTATTTACGACATTTTTCCAGTTTTGAATCAATTTGCGCTCTCTCTTTTTGGAATATCTGAGAATCAAAAGAGTAGCTCCTTCCCATTTCTGTTGTAATATCTATTACCGATTTTCTTTATTACCCTCCTTTACCAATTCTTGTAAAGCTGAACATAGCAAACCAAATTATGGAACCCACTGTTGAGAAATATTTTATTTGGAAAATAATATCGTAGAGTCTCCTCTTTCTTTTCTAGCCACAAATTTCATTTTCTGATTTGCAAACTCGACAGTTAAGGGCAAAGCCAGTCTGCTATGCTAAATATTGGACAGTTACAATAGTAACTTGTATATTTCTTTGTTAAATGTCCTTCCACTTATGTGTATTGAAACCCAGAATAAATGTAAAATTGGTACTCAAAAAAGGAATTAAACACAGAAGTTTTGCAAAATAAAACACTTGTGAAGGCCTTTACAGTCTAGAAAATCTACAGGAACTGCGATAATGTGCTTCCTGTTATTTTCACAGGTTCTTTAACTGCAGAGAGTGAGAGAGATTCTTGCTAATTGCGAGATTAAGTGGGTAATGAATTTGTGCATGCAGGAATGGTCAACAATCGGAAGGATGCCGTTTCGTGTTAAAACTACTCTGGTTGGGTTCTGGAATGGGTGGCTGTATTTCACATCCGGGCAGAGAGACAGGGGCCCAAATGATCCTTCTCCCAAGAAAGTTATCGCAAGCACATGGAGAACTAAGTTGAGTTTATGAATAACCACATTATTTTTGTTACTCTCGGAAGGGTTTCCAATTTGATAACCATTTCAAAGAAAGGAGTTCGTGAGCAGTGTCGTTAAATGTTGGTTATTGTATCATATTCATGATAGTTGTTAGGGGGATGAGCAGCTATTAGGACACGACCCGTGACTCGAGGTTGATCAGGCAAGTATTCCAGTTTGGTCTAAACCGCAATTGAACCGGTCTGACCATCTTTAAAGAGAAATAAGTTGAAAATATTAATTATATTTTAAATGTTAAAATCACTAAATTGCTCAAGAAATAAAAAATTAGAAAGTTTAAATATATGAAACTGGTATTTTTCTAATTCTAAAAAAACTTGGGAAAAGTATGGTATAAGTGAGAAGCTGCAAGTAGTAGATTACTGCTAGCAATTGGAATTTTAATGAGAGGCTTTATAAGAACTCAACACATTTAAGAGTATTAGCAAGTATCTTGGTGTTCCCATAGAGAGGCTTGATTTGGTGTGTTGGCTGGTTTAAGAGAACCTCATAGTAAAATTATGGGCTTGAGAAGAGGAAGGAATAGGAAAGGTATAAGAGATCACAGAAAAGGTTTTAAGAGTATCGTGTAAGATGATGTTTTGACACAAAAGGAGGTGGTCCAACCTGTGGGATCAATTTGTATCAATGTGACCCACACTATCTAGGTGCCATCCCAAAGATTTCCAGCATTGATACTTTGATTGAAGGGAGGGTGGGAGGTAGAAAGTTAAGCCATGTATACAATATTATTACTTCAGATAGAAGATCGACAAATATTTACAAGTAAAAAAATATAAGATACATAACATATATTTATCAATGATGTTTATTTGTTTTATATTTTTGTTTCTACTAGTCAATCTTACAATTTTAATAAAGTATGTACAAATTGCATGCATGCTCAAATTTTGTCCACAAGTCTTACAATGTACATGTGCAACATTAGAGCAAGTCTTACAATGCACATGAGCAACATTAGAGCTTTTTTTTTTTTATTAGTTATTGTTATTTTGAATTCGGTCTAAGAAATTCGGCCTACATGCCTGAAAATGCCACAGTACCAAATTTATCACAATACTCCAATACCTAAAAGTGCCACATTATCAATCATATCAAAATAGAAAATTAGTCGCACAAAGTGCCACCGTATCAATCATATCAAAATAGAAAATTAGTCACACTTATTAGCGAGAGAAGTTCTCTTCAAATACCAAAAATTTCAAAGTAGATAATGCAATGGTAATCTTATTTTCAAGATAACGTTGATAGCAAGGTAAAGAATCACGTAGAAATATCACATAAAAATCATGCGAAAATCACCCCAGAAGCATGTAAGATCACACCACATCAACTGCATATGAAAATCACCCCAAAAACAAGTAAGATCACACCGCATAGGTCTTGGCCTGAAATTTCACTGTACCTTTTCCAATGTCCTCAATATCATGCCACCGTTGGATTTAGGACCTAAGTTTGGGGTTGTAACCTCCTTATCTAGTGACCAATTAGAAAAAAGGAAAAGTGTACAAAAAAAAAAAAAAAAAAAAAGAAAAAAAAATGTTGAAATCCATTACAATATCATCAAAAAGGTTAAAAAATATTCAAACCGCCAAAAAAGAGGTATATATAAATTTATATCAATCTCAGTGTTTGGAAACCATAACAACATAGGGTATTTTAGTAATTTACCCCTAATTAAAATTATCAAAGTAACCTAAATTATTTAGACATTATTCAGACTTCCCAATATGGAGTAATTTAGGAATTTTTCAAAATTTTTGATGACATTTTCTATTAATATAGAAATCTAAAAGTAACACTATATATTTGTAANGTTTTTGATCCTTTTAGTGATATTGTTAAGAAATTTTCAACCTTTTATATATATATATATATATATATATATATATTTCCTTAGAGAAAAAGGTAGAAG